TCCCATTTTCCCATTGCTCTTAATCATTTTGAAAAGATGCCTCTAATTTCGAGAAGTGGATAGGGTCCAAGCTTTTGTACCCTTCATGCAAAACCCTTCCTAAACTTCGGATAGACGCATATACAGACAACAGAAATGAGGACTTCTTTCATTTTAGGCCATTCCAGTGAAAAGATGTAAAATAATTGGGCATTACCCAATGACACGTGGAAAAGTCCTCAATAATCCGTCCTAACTCAACCCAGGCAAGGCTCCCCAATCTTTCTGATTCAAGCTGGACTTCAGTGTCGATCTTGCCACGGTTGCATCAGCATCCTCTAGAGGATATGAAACCGCGTTGCATGAGAAAAACGTCAACATGTCGTCACTTTGGCATACAAGCCAATTGTGTCAGAGGCTCACGGGGGTAGATAAGACTTCGAGGCAACCCAGGTAACTATCGAAATATATTTATATTTTGACTAATTAGTTTGCATGTCGTAATGTCGCTAATTTAAATGGAAGATAACAAATGGCATTATTGTCCCTGTCGCGGTGCGAACGAGTGATACGGTCCGGGTATTCAATGAACTTGGCCCAGCAACAGGTTACTTATTAACTCAGTTAAGGCTGAACCTGCCATCCAGTCGGAATGAGGAGGCCTTTGTGAGTCAGTGCTAGGTTACATTGACCAGAATCTTGGGGTCTTTTACTCACTTCATGATGCAAAACATGACCACCTATGAAACGTAGCGTATAAAATGCCTATTCATTTTACCTAAACACAGTTGCAGAAGATCTTGAACCCGGCCAATGGTAAACGTAGAGCATCCGGGTGCATTCGCTAATGAAACTGTCTAAAAACTACACAAATACATGCAGATGGCAAGTAATAGTGCGAAATTCTATTTAACACGAAGTATAAATTGAAAATAGGCCACAGGTAATTCGAGCCAAAATGCAGTTAGTATTGGTCGAGGTAGGAGGGTATAAGAAAAGAAGAAGAATTAAATTTCGTTAGATTGTAGCTCTTTATACACGTACTGATGCTTGTCACACTCTTGGGTTTTGTATGAAAAAATAAAGCTAATTCAAAATGATGTAAAATTCTATTAGTTGATAACTATGGACAATAGGAGGAATGCCAAAGCGTGTATATTGGAGATGAAAGATAGAATAGATTGGTGATTTAATTAGAACAAAAATAGGGTGTAATAGAAAGATAGCAAAATGGTGATAGCAATTCTAAAATTGGCAAGGACTTTGGAGGGTATTACATCAATGGTACAGAATATGTTGCAAAGTACAGAATACATTAAGACAAACGGTAAAACGGCAAACACGTCTTCATTTCAGCCGTTTGACCAGAGATTAAATACTGCATTTCAAGGATATTACGCCAAAAGAAGTTTGGTATAGGCGAGTGCTCTAACAAAGGGTGAGGATGTTTTCCACATTGTATTGCTTTTCTCGTAATAGACTTTTGAATTTTACTCATTTTTGCCTATCCTTGGGATTAATAAGAGGATAAAAAGTTATAATATTGTTTAATTCTTCCTATGTTTTTTCAATGAAATGACACAAAATGCATAACTGTATGTGATTAAATCGCTCCTGATAGAACGACACATATAAGCAGCAAATTACTCGTACTAGTCGCGACCTGTCTGTACTCGGCATACCGAACTTATTTTTCGTTTCGTAGATTGGCTTTCGAGACTATCGGTAGATCGGATAGAAGGGCTGTATCTACCAAATTTGTTTTAAGGTCAATCGTGTAAGTGTCGAGACTGTGCGTTGCTCTACCACATGCTGGGTTCTAGTCCAGCTGAGATAAGAAAACCTTTTGCGAAGGGAGGCTTTGTGAAATTCAACGCAAACACAGGTCCTCAACAGCGCATTGTGGGAAATTCACATACCAGTCCTTCATCATGTAAAAGCAAATAGAGTGAATACATCTCATTTATCTGAACTTGATTTGCATCATTTTTCCTGTTTCACGCTAGAAATGAGCATAGCCCACTTTTTCATTCATTAGCTCCCGTTGAATGCATGCTTGCAAGAAGACCTTTCGAGAAATTCGACTTCTTCACCATGACATGATCCCCACGTGTACTGTGCAAAGGGCGATCAGCAACACTTGTGGCGGATGGAGTACCACATGTTGACGATTAGTGTCGCGGCCGTCTGACTTGGACAGACTTTGGCACAGTCTTGGAGACAGGCCCAAAAGCCGCCCAGACGCAGGTCGGAAAGAAGAGCTGGTCTGTTGGGCAGAGTTTCAAGAGCTCGGGACGACTGGTTGGCTTTGTTCTCGCGTCGAATTCGACATATACGAGGGAACCGGGTGGCTTATGAATACAGCAAAATGTACTCTTCGATTCTAGCTAGAATGTTCTATCCAGCAACCAGTTTCGCTTCACATCTACCGCCATCTTGGGCACCGTTTTTTCTCGTCAATCCTGTCAGGCCAGACGCCAGCCGTGGCCGTTCAATCGGGACTTGTGTGACAGACATTGGCACTCTGAATCGAAATGAAAATCACATTCCTGCCGGCCAATAATTCACATTGCGTCCACCTAACGACAAAGTTTGCAAACAGGCTGCATGTTCACGCTCCTGTCGAGGCTGCTCTTGGCGCGACTCGAGCCTGCTCCTCCTGGACGACAGAACTGCCGAATGTAGACAGTGTTTACTTGGACAGAGTAGCAACTTTTCGTGTCGTTACTGCAGCAATTGGGCTGCGTAGTCAAGGCAACTTTTCGTAAGTGTTATAAAAGCTGTGTGCCGGAGAAAGAAGTCTCACAGTACATGTGCACAAAAATTGGGAAGAGACAAATGCTGTTTGATGTGTAAATATGGGGTTGCTTGCCGCTCTTCTGGTCACTTCAAAAGCGCTTTGCCACAACCTATGCCCTAACCTTCGTCCAGATCGTCGTGATGGCTAGCCACATCTGCAATCTGATAGTGGTCTCCTCGGCAATGCAAGACAAACTGAATGAGGAAGCAACACTAGAGACGAAATAAGAAAGGACAACCAAGTGGACATACTTGAATGTCTGGGCTCAGTGGGGAAGCTAATAAGTTGGCTTGCTTAAGTCAAAATATCTCATTCAATTGCAATTCATTCGGCATCAATAACTGTCGGAAGACACTTTTCAAGGTGTTCAGCCGTTATTTTCAGACAAATTACCAACGCGTTTCACTTGTAACACTCATATTCACCTGATGCGTCTAGACGATGCATGGTCTAACTGAAGATTTGTAAATATTTTGGAAATTTTTTTCGGTCATTTCCTCCAACTCTGATCAGACGCATCAACATGTCCCATTTAACATGGGAGCCTGGATTAGTCTTTTTTGTGTGTAAAGAGTTGGCCTTACTTTCGGTATGCGTTCGGGGATTCCTTGAAAAACTAGCCCGTATTGCGTCCAGCATACAATAAAGAGATTAAAAGTAACTCGACAAATAGTTTATAGTATTACAAAAATCATAAAGTCCAGTTTAAATGAGAGTTCATTTGCCATTTATAAGGCTAAATTGGGCCTAGCATAATCAGTGAACATATTATAAACACTCCCATGTCAACATTTTATTTTCACTTTTCGATGCTTTACGAGCACATAGCTTAGCAAGCCCATGGTTTGGCAACTGGGCTAGACTCTCCCGGTGAAAGTCTGTCAATAAAATCTACCAATTAATTTAAATTCAACAAGATACATGAAATAGGATGAGCAAGTCTCGTATATCTGATTTAATGATAGTATCTAAATCCAACTTATACATGAAAAGTAAGTAATGTAGTCGATTGCTATAGCATCGATAATACCACCACCTTCCCTGAAATTTACATCTGACCTGTGTCCCAAAGACACTCGTAGCAATGTGGTGTAGTGGTTAAGGTGGCGAGATTATACGCCGAACTGACATGGTTCGAGTCCTGCTGGGGTTACTGATGCGACGAGGTGGAAATTGCAATCCACTTCAGTCGAATGAGAATACTGTTTGGGAAACGAGGATGCATGAAATTCAATGGAAATGCAAGGTTTACTCATATCATTGTGGGAAAATCTAACTAACATCTCATCCAACTGATTTGCTGGTAGTCTCGAAGCCATACTTACGAACGAAGAACATGTAATGCAAGCAAAGGCACCTGGTAACTCGGACGCTGTCAAGAAAATAAGAAGTGACAGATGACTCAGAAGGCACAATGGAAAATTATTCGCTTTAACATGTAGTTGAATCGGGATAATGACCAGAATTACTTACATTCGTTTCGAGTAGGAGTTCAAGATTATGAGTAGATCTTGAATAAAACTTTTTCTCATAATGAGTTTGGTACTTTCCCACGATTTCGTTGAATCTCACTAAGCTCTGCCTTCCAAAAGGTATCCTCATCCCGACTGGGCCAGGCAGCAGCTACGACCTCGTCTTAATCTCCCAAATGGAATCGAACTGAATGCCTTATTTAGGATTTACTGATATAATACAAAATATATGCGAAGAAAAGTTGTGTTTCGAGAAATATCTTGTTTCATAATTGTTCAGCTTACTTCCATTTCGAGTGAAAGTGTTTGGTGAAGAAATTCTAAGGTCGGTTCCACCAGAAGGCGACGGCGGATTCCTCTTGACCAGCTGTCGATTGGCTTTAGTGAATGATTCATGCTGACGCTGTTTCCGAGGCAATCTCCTTCGATTCCGGTAAAAAGGTGCTAAGCTTTCGTCCCTCATATGACGGAAAAAGCCTTGGAAACAACGTCAGTATGAATCTTCGAGTAAAGCCAATCGAAAGCTAGTCAAGAGGAATCCGCCGTCGTCTTCTGGTGAAACCGAAATGAAAGTAAGCTCAACAATTATAATACCAATGCCAGCCAAAATCAATCGCTAAGAACTGTCGCAACATTGCAGTTTATTGGCTGATATTTCACCTAAAAGCTATCACTCTTACAAGTTGAAAAAAAAGTATCAAATTTGAGCTTCTATATTATTTCTCCAGCATCCTCCTCAGACAGCCTAGGCTGAGAGAGAGCAAGGGAGTGAAAATGAGCATTGTGTATCCAAGACCACTCTTCCTAATCACTTATTTAAAAATCCTGAAATAAATACACTTTCAGGCCAGTCTAAGCCTTTTAATCGAGATTTTAACAGAAAGCTTCCTTGTCATGAAGCCTCTGCTTTCTAAGTGTTGAGATTAACCTACATTTCCAGTTAAAATCTCTTTACGAGACGATGAGATTATCTTCCTGGCCAGTTGTCATTTGGCTTTGCAGTCCCGGAGACAGGCTGCTTCGGTTCCGACGAAGACGTCTTCGATGCTGAATCATAGCCATCGTCAGAG